GAGCCAAGAACTAGGATGATTAGAATAAAAAGCAACTGGATTATTCAGGTCAGGAACTGACTGGTCAGGTTTTGACATCAACAGGGATGTGTTCTTACAGACCAAATTGCATAGTAAGATCAAACAAGTTTAAAGGGCCACCAATGTGGCATATCTTCGACACCAGAGTCTGCTAAGACATGGAGATAGGAGGGTGGTGATAGAAGACTTTAGGTCCCTCTCAGTAACATAACATGACCCTACCTGGAGATGACTTAGAAATTACTATATACAGTACTGGTAATTATTTTAATGATTTGAAGGAGTATTTTTGACATAGCCTTTCTTTTTTAATGAGTATGAAAAATTACCTATTATCTTTCATACTATTCATTTAGGACAGTACAGAGTCTGCTTCTTTTACACTTGGCGTAGTGTATAGACAGCACAGCACCCATACAAAGTCTGTTCCATCATTTCAGTGTAGAAATTCATGCCAGTTAAGAACATACATACACACCCAGTTGAAAGTCTACAACTTTTGATCTGAGCATGCTGTGTCTCCCTGTCTATCTCCCTGTGTGTGCAGTAGACGATTACAGTGGATCAGAGATCACAGTTGTGACTAAAGTGAGCTAACCAAGAACTGAGTTGGCTGAGTGTGTAACTTTTCCTTTCTTTTGTCTTGCTTCAGTGAATCTCGTTGCCTTTAGGAAGGGCTTAACCACCCTTCTATTCCACTACCAAGTTCCATCTAAGCTCTATGTACATGTTCTTTTTATGCAGTTCTTGGGGTGGACATTTTGTTAAATTTCTTTAGGCACCTAAGGCTTAATTCTATGTAGCTGCAAAGGGTATAAAGGAGCTCTCATTTCCCCCATTACCTGAGAGGCTCATTTAATACTCAGGTCACCCCAGTTAATTGTTTTATATTCATTTTACAGGGAAGAAAACAGGGTTAGAGAAGGTGACAGTGTTCTGATGGTCTGAGGCTTACCTATTGTGAGTGTGGTGGTTGTAATGAAAATGTCCCCCATAGGCTCCAAGTATTTGGACATTTTGTCCCCAGATGATGGCACTGTTTTGAGAGGTTTTAGAAGGTGTGGCTATCCTGGAGGAAGCATGTCTCTGGGGTGGGCTTAGAGAATTGTTAAGCCTTGCCGGATCTCCAGTCGCTCTCTTGCTTCCTGTGCCTGTGTGATGATGTGAGAGCTTAGCTTCTGCTGCTCCTGCTCCAGCCACCTCCAGCCACCATGCCTCCCTGCCATGATGGAATGAATTCCCCTGGAACCGTAAACTCAAAAAAACTCTTCCTTCTATAAATTCCTATCACAGCAACAGAAAAGTGACTAATACAGTGAGAATCAGATTAAAACCTGGATTCCTGTCTTCAGAATCTCTCTATACCCTAGATTTCCTTGTTGGACAGAAAATTTCTATGCTGGCTTATTATGTAACAAAGATTTTCTCAGATTTTCCAAAAAGTCAAAGTTAGATAAACATGGATGTCACATGTCAAAATATCTCAGACTACTTTAGTAAGATATTTTATTTGCATGCTGTTTTCTTTGACAATCAGGAAATTTAAATTCACACTGTGCTTGGAAATGTACTTTATTTCCTAAACAGTCACCCAGAACTAAAGATAATTATTACTAGAAGAAATTTAATTTTTTTCACACGTTGTTGTGACTTTGGAAAATATGAATCGTTCAAATTCAAAATGTAAAAGGATTTTGTTTATACCACTTAATTTTCCTGCTTTGTATATAATACGGTCGAATAAATTTAGCCTTCTGTTTACAAAATCAAGCTACAACTTAAAGGATATTGAAATAATACTTGATAACATAGACAGTTAAGTTGACATAGAACAGTTCTTTTAATATTATATATTTATATATGAAATAGAAAATGAACATAAAATATCTTGAGACTATTGTCTAACTAGAAACATAGACGATAAACACAAATTCCAACTGTGTCATTTTTTTGTTTGATAGTCTTGTAAAAATACGTCTACTAACATAAAAACAAAATATGTTAGGAATTGTCTCCTTGCTGTATATCCAATTGGTTTGTGTAATAGTTAGCATAAGGGCCAGCAAATGTGCATATGAGAATATCTATTTTCAAAAGGGAAAAGAAGTAAAAAAAATAATAAACAAAATGTGAGTTAGGGGTAAGAATGTGCCTCAGTGGTAGGACGTTGCCTACCAATCACAAAGCTCTGAATTCGGGTCCCAACACCAGAAGGAAAATAGAAAGAGAAAGCCCACATAAGATCAATTTTCTCTAAGTCAAAGAGTCAGATTAACCAGGGCTCTTCTAATTTGATTAGAAGATCAAGACAAGATATGTTTATTTTTTAACCTCAAACAAACAGGCCTCAAAGTTACAGAGAAGAAGTTTCTACAAATTTATTGTAAAAACATATGGCTTGTTTTGAAGTAATTAGTCTGCTAAGTTTCAAATCAGTGCATGGGGTTTGGGAGGTGGGGTAGGGGTACAAAAACTGTTGCCCTTTTCAAATAATTCACAATTGCACTAATTATGTGTCAGATATGAAAGCTGAGGCATTGTGACCTTCAAGCTAACAAAAGACCTTTTCAAGTAAGCCATTTTCATGTACATTAATAAAGCGAATAATGCCTTTTCAAAGCTAAATAATGTATAACTGTTATTTTGTCATATGTAAATGAAAATTGAGAGTAGTTTCACTATTGACATATTAAAAGTAATACCAGAAAAAGTAACAGCACATAAATCCATTGAAATTTCATTTTGTTGCTCTAAAATAGTGGTCCAAAGATTTTTGCTCTTCTTTTGTGATTCATGCAAACAATATGTGAATTTGAAAGTGAATTTATTCTAGATTTGGGGAGTAAAAACTGCAATATGTTAAGTATATAATAACTAAAGAATAGTTGGAGGAATAAGAAAAATATTGTTTAGAAAAATATTTCCTTCCAGTAATAAAGACAGTGAAATATTTTTTTACTGTGGGCCAGTGAGATGGCTCAGAGGTTAGAGGCACGTGCAGCCAAGCCTGACAACCTGAGTTTGAACCCACATGGAAGGAGAGAACCAACACCTGGTCGCTCATCACACACACACACACACACACACACACACACACACACATGCACGCACTTCTCAGAAGTTGAAGCTCCTCAGGAAGATGCTTCAGTGCCACTGGGAAGTAGGGGCTCATGAGTTCTTAATCAAATTTAGACCCCTACCCTGTCCTTGCCTCCCCCATCCCCCCACGGGACCTCACATATTGTGCTATACATGTTAAGTCCTGTTCATTCAGGCATTTGTACCCAAATATCCTACAGTGTAAATTTGCCCACTGGAGTCTAGTCTGCCCATCTAGTGGTCATAAGTAAATCATACTCTCCCTCATGCAACAGCAATCAGTCTCGAATAGTTCTCAGTCTTGTGACAGCCCACTACCTATTTCTCTCTTGCCCTTTGGGCCCTGTTCACTTGAGTTGACATGGGTCCTGTGCTTGATGCCACCATTGCCGCAAGTTCACATGTGCAAGCTTCCAGTGACCCTCTGCTTCCCTGTGTCATGAACAAGTCCTGCCTCTTAAAATTTTTCCTCCCTCTCTTTCCACCCTGAGTCATGGGTGGATGAGGTTCCATATAGGAGTCATATCCTAGACAGCCTCTTATTCTTTAAAATTTGGCTAACTATGATCTTCTGTGTGCATTGCACTCTGTTGTATAAGGAAGCTTTATTTGTGAGAGTTGAGGGATGCAGTAAGTTGCTCTGTACCCCTTGTTCTGCTATGTTCCGTGAGCCTTAGTTGTAGACGTTCAAGTCTATAAGTGTCACCTAGGACTGAACATCTCTCAGACATATGTTCTTTGTGTCAGACCAGATGTGCAATTCCATAGTAGCTTCCATCTGTTGAAAAATAAGCTTCTTTGATTTTTTTGATGAGTGGTGTAGAGTATGCTTGTCTGTAAATATAAGGATTGATAGCATATAGTAAGAAATTTCATTTCTTTAGAAACACGAAAGGGATAGGGTTTTCTCTAGGATCTATGTCCTCTTCTGCCGTGTGGATTTGGCTGAGTTTACATGGCCACTCATGGGTTCCCTCCCATTAAGGAGTCCTCCTCATTAAGTCCACTTATAGCTGCTTATTGCCCTCCAGGTAGCAGTGGCACTAGTGCACCAATAGAGGTAATCTTTTTGACACCAACCCACATTGTGCTAGAAAGAAGAATATTGTATACAGTGGAGTTCAAAGAAAGAGAAAATTACTTCTTAAGGCTCTTTCATGAGCTAACAGATTTGTAAATATTGGGCTTAGGTAATGAGCATTATGATAATTATTCAAAAGAACACTCATTTCAGTGGAAAACTGTATAAATGAAGTAGTATAAAATAAATTTGGGTGTCACTAATGCTTGAGCCAAACTGGCTGCCAGAACATCTGATATTGCTCACCAAATTGCAATAGAAAATCAAGATCAGGAAATAGTATTTAATTATCTCATATTTGTTCAGCTTGGAATTCCAGCATATTTGATGTTGAATAAAACATGAATGAGATACAGCTATGGTTAATGCAACTTAAGTATGCATAATAGACCTCTGGGAAATGAGAAACCAATTACGAACTTAAAATAAACCCCAATCAAAGGAGATTCCAAGAACCTATTAGCATTCGATCCATAGATAAACTTTTTTCCAGTCTCCCAAGAGCTTCATATTATGGGTTAGATATTGATACCAAGAGACTCTGTGAGACTCATTGATTCATTCACCAGCGTGTTTCCTCTTTACACAATTCTCTGAGGCCCTTTTTTGTTATTTATTATAATAGCTTGTCTGAATGAGTTCACGAAATAGATATCAGTGACTTTTATAAAAATGTTGCTTGTCACTGAATTTTCTTTTCAATGAATGTGAGCTAGATCTTCCTTGTTCCAGATTGCAAATCTTTCTATATTTCCTTGGTGATATGAACTAATTTCCATTGTTTTGAATTGCATTTCAGGTCGCAAACCTTGCTTGTTCCATGTCAGCAAATGAAGATGGAATTAAAATTGTCAGACTAGCAGCCAATCACCTGGAAATTCTGTGTCCACAGGTAGGAGAATAGGGTGTCATTGCTTCTTCTCAGTAAAATTAAGTCTGATTTTTCTTTTGTTCTTTATTTATTGTTATTTTGTGTGTGTGTGTGTGTGTGTGTGTATACGTGTATTCCCTGCATGTGTATAAGTGCACCCGTGTCATGCAATGCCCATGGAGGTCAGAAGAGGTTATCAGATTCCCCTGGAACTTGAGTTATGGACAGTTTAGCTGCCATGTGGGTTCTGGGAATTGAACTCAGGCCGTCTGCAAGAGCAGCTGATGTTCTTAACTGGTGAGCCATCTCTCCAGCCCTATGAATTTTCATAAGGTTACACTTGTTGAGGTTGAGGTTGGCTTTAAACACAGAGGAGTGAATTGTTCTCAAATCATGGTTTATTTATTTACCAGGAAACTAGTTCCTGTAGTTCTTTGAGATGGTTCTGTGAGATGTTGTGAGTCTGAGTCAAACATCTTCTAGTAGTATGAAACTGTCAAGAATGACTAGCAATGGACCCAATGAATCCAAATAATTAGCATTAATCCTTGACTCACTTTGCTAAATTCCTTTCATCACTGCTGAAAGAACAAGGTTAAAAGGCTTATAAGACCTACCTTTAAAGAAAATATAATTCAGCCTTTACCATAAATTCTAGAATATTATATCATGAAAATGTCTTACTTAGTTTAAAGCTTTTACTTTATAGTCTAGCAAATTTGGTGCTAGAGAAATTAAATATTGTATAGGTGCTATTATAAAAGACACTGTAATGGAGGGCATCAAAACTCTGTGCAAGATTTTGCTACTTGAAACTGTGTAATCTATTTCTTCTGAGAAGTGCTATTGCTTTAGAATGTGAGCGCAGTTTGACGCTGGCATGTCCTTGTAATCCCAACACTCCATGGCCGAAGATCAGAACTTTGAGGACACCAGGCCTGGGCTACATAGCAAGACTCTGTCTCAGAAAACCCAACCCAGCCCAAACCAACTAGTCACTAAAGTACATTTAGTGAGAGTATATTCTAATTAGCCAGAAATATTTTCTTTTGAGTAGTTCAGGAGTTTATTAATATCTGATGAGCAACATATTCTAGGGAATTGTGTTTAGATAACTAGTACCCTTGAAATTGTGAAGCAGAATTAACCATTATGGTAATAATAATTATTAGGCAGCTGTCTTGGGAAGCACAGAAAATGATGTGCACCTATACTTCCTGTAAAGATCACCAATAATGTAAGGGGAACATGTGTTAAATAGGGTAAGGAGAACATGGGTTAAATTCTTGATTTGCCCTGCTGACAATTGCTTTCCTAAAATGTTGAAAGTGAGATACCTGCTTCTCTGGCTGGACAGCCTGCTGCAGCAATCTTCTATAACAGGGAGACTCATTCTTCTGAAAACTCATAGGGAACAGACTATAGAGCAGTAAGGTCTCTAGAGAAGTCGAACCCATTGAACAACTGTCAGCATCCTATGAGCGTTCACAGCTCTCTACACTGAGGCTAATACTTGAAGCTATTACTTTTTGAAGTCTATTTTCGGGATACAGACTGTTAACTATTTTACTGAATTTAATTGACAATTTCCTGATTTTTAGGGAGAATATTGTTTTCCCCACAGGATTGACTATTTGGCTTTCTAATTTTAAAATGTGTATATATCTTTTCCTGATTTTATTAAGATAGGAAAGAGCTTTTTTAATTACTATTCTTTGATAATATCTACATGAACACAATGTATTTATATAATTTCTATTCCCTAATAAACTCCTTCCAATTCCTTTTGGACCTTCACTGAATTTGGTTTCCAACTTCATTATTTCTTCTTCCTCCCCTTCCTCCTACTTCTCATCTTCTTCTTCCCCCTCCTCCTCCTCCTCTTCCTGCTCCTCCTCCTGCTCCTTTTCCTGCCCCTCCTCCTCCTCCTCCTCCTGCTCCTCCTCCTTCTGCTCCTCCTCCTCCTCTACTTCTCATCTTCTTCTTCCCCCTCCTCCTCCTCCTCCTCCTGCTCCTCCTCCTTCTGCTCCTCCTCCTCCTCCTGTTCCTCCTCCTGCTCCTCCTCCTCCTCCTCTTCCTGCTCCTCCTGTTCCTCCTCCTGCTCCTCCTCCTGCTCCTGCTCCTCCTCCTCCTGCTCCTCCTCCTCCACTACAAATGTGTGAAAACATACAGTGTTTGCTATTTTGCATCTGTCTTAAATCACTTAATAGGGTAATCTCCAGTTGCATTCACTTTTATCAAATGACCTGTTTTCCTCATTCTTCCATTGTGTGTTTATCCATGTACACACACGTGTTTATATTGATGAATATATGTAAAATCACTGCTATTTTTCATCTTTTGTTCTTTCATATAATTTTCAGGAACAATTCATGAGTGTCATAAAAACATGTTAGAATTTTCAATAAAATGTCAGAATGTTTGAGCCTTAGATTATTTTACAGCATAATCGACTTATTGGATCTTTCTCTCAACCAAGATGCTACAATTCCCATGAGCACATATTATATACTTAAAAGATTTTTTATAACTGTATTATTTATTTATTTAAAAAAAATCACAGTTTAATACAGAAAGACTCATTGTTTAAAAATATATGTTAATAAAAATATTTTCTAAATGGTGTTGACTTTCTAAATTTATCTGTAGATCAAATCTTCTCCTAAAGATTGTACTTAACATATCCTAGTACCTTCATGGCCTTTCCTTTGTGCCACATAGAAGGCACCAAAATCTTAACAGGGCCAAGATGGGGCTCCCACTCCCCCAAGCCTTCTTTAGCAAATTTCCCTCATTCCTCCCAGGTTTAGTTGATGCTACAGGCACTTGTTTATTTCAGTGAAAACCTTGTATGTTGTGTGTGTGTGTGTGGGGGGGTGTTCCTTTATTCTTTCTGAAAATATTCATTGAATAACTGCTATGTGACAAGTTCCGTTTATGTATCTGTAGAAAAAAAATATGTGCAATTCCATACCCTTTGTACCAGATAAAAATGCAAAGTCTATTTGATGTTCAAAAAAAAAAAAATACTCATCCTGCGTGTAAACGAATGATAGTTTTCTAAAACTACAGACCGCTGCATGTTCATAGAGGGTAGGGAGGCTTTTGTTAACAAGTTTGTGATATTTTTCTTAATGTAAAACATCATTTTCTTGACATAATACAAAGAGTGTTATTAGTTTGGGTTACAATTGATTACTGTAGATATGCAAATTAAATGCTGATTAATATAGATATGCTAATCACAGATGAGTCATTGCCTGATAAGCTGCAGCAGTTTTTTTTTTTTCACTTCATCCATTTCAGTGTTTTACTCACAATTTGTACAAAATTATAATTTTTTAGACAGGGTCTCACTGTGTGGCCCTGATAGAACTGGAACCTGAAATGAAGACCATTCTGTACTTGAAGTTGTAGTAATCCTCCTGCCTCTTCCTGATGAGTGACTGGATTACAGGCATGTACAGGCATGTGGCACCATCCCTAACCTAGATTAGTTATTTTACAATTTTAAATTAAAAATAGTAGGACAAAGGAAATATATTAACTGAAAAAAATCTATTCCCTCAAATCTTTGTATTATAGACTACAAATCAGCCAGGCATGGTGCCACATGCCTTTGGGCCCAGCACTCCCAAGGCAGAGACAGGTGGGTCTCTGTGAGTTCAGGAAGGTTTACATCCAGCATGGTTTACATAATGAGTTCCAGGCCAGCTGTTGCTACAGGGAAACACTGTCTCAAGAAGTCCAAAAAACACTCACCCAAATACAAATCAAAATTAGCTATGAAACATAATAGACATAAGTATTAAATCATAGGTACTACATACTATAAACCCAACTGAAAATAGATGGAATGGAATAGACATAAATTAAGGAAATCTTACTCTCCAAAATGCTCAGAGGTGTAAGTTGATATGTGTTTTCTATGGTTGTCAGCGAAGCTAATATGATTTAACATGTGTTCATAAAAAATATGTTCTAAAATGATTCTCCAGCTACTCTGCATGTAGCATTGACTTTAAGGCTGGATATTATGGCCTATGTTTATACTATGTATTCTGAAATTAGGAATTAATATGTCTGCAATGTGGCCCAGTTGTGTGTGTGTATGTGTGTGTGTGTATGTATGTGTGTGTGTGTGTGTTTTTAAGTTTCCCTTAGACAATCTGTATTGGAATTTATAATGCATACACCTTCTGGAAAGTAGCACAACTCCCAGCAATAAATGTGTACATATTTATATGTACATGTTTATAAAAGTCTATAAGTAAAAATTTTAAGCAAAATCTTCTGTAATGGCTAAACCTAGACCTAGCCTAAATTTCCATAGTCAGAGAATTAAAAGCTGTGTAAAGATGTAAGTCAACTTACCTGAATCTGACTGCTTTCACTTATTTTGGGTGTCTGTTGATTTTGGAATGGGGTAAACTCAAGTCAGGGGATGATGGGATGCTGACACCAGGCTACTTTGTTCCTATTTGTTAAGTCTGATTGAATTCAATTCAGGTTCAGTGTATTGAATCCTTCAGGTTCCCACTGTGCTTGAAGGACAGGCTCAGACAGTGTGTTTCAGGAATTGTCACAGGCAGTGTATTTAGCAGACAGTGTCTGAAATAGTGACATGACTTTTGAAACCATGTTGTATGAAAACCTCATAAAAGCAACAGAAAATTTTCAGCCATGAAAATACAAGATTTACAGAAACATAATCACTATCATCAAACCATTAAATGGCCCTGAAATCAAAGGCTGGTTCTGACAGGCCCTGAGGGGCACAGCTACAACCTATAAACAGAATCTGGAAGGAGGCAAATAGCAACTCTGTGTAGAGACAAGTTTGATTCTGGGCTATCCTGATGGAAGTTGAACCTGCAATGAGGAATTTGGAACTTCTCAGTGTCATAGACATGTGTTGACGTGGATGACTACTTGATCATGTGATGATGCCAAAAGGCACATGCCTGGAAGCCTTGTAGCACCCAGTTATGTAAGCCTCTAATGGAGCTAATCTCCTTGTT